TTGCCAAGGCAGTCAGGGTTCAGAGGGTGAAGCACTTGTTGCTATACTGCGACCCTAAGGTCCTTGGCAGATTAATTAACATTAATTAACACACTACCTGTGCGTTCACCAGCCAGCAAGACCGCTTTTCACGTCCAATTCATGTTTTCACCTCTCTTGCATCGAGCAGGCCAAGCCCAGCCGTCGCCGGAACCGCAACCGCCGCAACAAGAAGAGCGGTGCCAGTGCCAGTGGCGGATACGGAGAGGCTGGGTGAGGAGGGTAACTGCACAAGGGAACCAAAGGGATTTTAGCCGCAATGGCTGCTTCGAGGTATCAAGGACTCCGGCTCGTTATCAGTAAACAAAATGGCAGTTATCACACCTTAAAACGACGGTTCCAGAATAGTCCAGAATGAGGTTTTAAAGAGTTCAAAGCTCAGTCAAGTGTTAAGTTTCTGGTCAAGCTGCTTGTCTCTCCTTTTTCAGTTCGCGCGTGGTTTTTCCGCCCGCGAGGAAGAGTGAGAGGACAACTGGACCAAAGTGTCCACAAATCGATTCAAAAAGTGTCCACTTTCATGAATTGGCATGCAATCATGGTGCTGGGCTGGGAAGGGTCGGGTCTCCAGCCAGAATGTTCTGGACCTTCACCTTCACCCGGAGAATTTCCTCCGGTCCGGACATTGGACCAGTCCGGAATTGAAGAATTGATGTTGTTGATTTGGATGAAACCATTGTAGAATGACCCCCAGCGGAAACCTGAGTGGAAGGGAATATAAAGTGGCAGGAGGAAGGATGGCGAGTTGAGAATTTGAGAAGGAGTTCAGTCTCAATTCGTCTCAATGTTCAAACCTTCAGCTTCCTCAGGACCATTCCGGTTCTCAAAATGGATCCCCTACTGTAGGGTCCTAGGGGCCACCATGGTGAGGTGATCCTGTTCCAGAGGATTTGTTGGGATTTGACCATGCTTTTTTTCACGACACTTCGAAGAAACATGGGAAACTTATCCCATCCTCGACCTGTGTCCCTCGTCACCAAAAATGAGGGTCACTCGGATAGCGGCGGTTTGTTCTTGGATTTGATGAGTTCCTGTTGATTCAGGTATCATGGAACATGGTTTTCCATGGCAAACCCTGCATGTGTGGCAAGCCTGATATGTTTGTTGGTTGTGTCCATGGACTCTGAAGTTTTGAGACCTTTGCTGCTTCTCTCAATGTCCAAAGAAGTTGTCATTGGGCGGCTGTCTCAGGGCCACACCAGAACATGAAAAACGCTAACTTTGGCTCCAGGGTGGTACTGTTTGCATGAGACCATGGTATGTGTGCGCAAGGCCAAGTTGCTTCACCAGCCAGAAACAGATCCGTCGATCCGTGCAACCCCCCCCGCGGGCGCTTCGTCAAGAGAGTGACCACCTTCGTCAAGAGAGTCCACCATCGCGGAGAGTCCACAGTCCACCGGACGCAGCTATAGCATACTCCCTGAAGAAGCTTCGGTTCGGACCATCCATCGCCACAGCTTCCAAGGGAAAGACCTGAAGACCTGTTGAGAAAGATCAGCAGACGAGTGCAGACGAGTTAGAACGGGTGCTTTCAGGGGTCCTCTTGGTGGCCAGGCAATCCTTCTCCGAAGGCACACGAAGTTTGATCCAACATATTGGCTGGTGCAAGAGGTTTTTGCCTCAGCATTCCAATTCTCAGCAAGACCCAACTAAGACCCTTCACACTCCCAAAGAGGTTCCACCAACCAAGCTCACAACCCCGCAAATCACACCAAACCTTCAAAACGAATCAAAGACCTTCGAGCTTCGTCCACCACGGTGTCCAACACCGCAGCCATGTCGAGTACCTTCAGTGGCGCCATGTCCTCACGGTGGATGCGGCTTTGGCCCATGGGCTCTCAACCGGGTGCGCCCAGTGGATCAGTGGCCATCGCCGCTTGGCCAAGCGAGAAGCCGCAGAGTGAAGCCCCAAGGCAGAATACCTTGGCGACCTGTATATTGAAGATGATGAGTATGGTCCGGTGGATGACTGACATTGATATTCTCTTTGGTCAGAAAAATGAATAGCCAAGCCAAAGCTTAACATGGAGCAGTACCTGGAGCACCTGGTCAGGTGATCTACCAAATCTACTCAGTCTACTCTGCCCGTCCAGATGTCACCAGAACGTTCAGTAGACCAAAGCCATTCACTGTACAGCACTGGTCCGAAATGGTCTCCGCAACTAGCCCAGACTATGGGATTCTGAAGTTTTCCTACAGGCCCTGCTGGAACTTAGCCCCACAAAGCAAGTCTTCCATCTCTCTGCTGAGGTGGACCTTCCTTGCCATGACTCCACCGTGTGTTTGTCTCGCTGCTGGAACTCGCACGCGATGAGGCCAAGCAGGGCGGATCCATGCCGAACGTTCTTTCGCGCACGGTCAGATTTGCAACTGCGCAGGGTGATTGGAAGGGACTATATGCCCGGTGGTTGGTGGAACATGTAGAGAGGAGTGGATTTTGGATTCCGGTGATACAGGACTCAGGAGGAGTTCACATTCATGTCTATACTATCTTCCATGCCTTTGGAATGGCAAATCTCATGCAAAGGTGTGCTCGAAACGACCGTCAATAATCGCAACAACCAGTGCAAAGATTACGAAAGCCAGCCTTCGTAGAAGTCGCCAGCGGAGTTGTGTTTGGCGAACGAAGTGAGTAGTTAGGGGGTCTGGGGGGGGTTGCCCGCAAAAGGTACACGTAAACTCGGCACATGCTGGGGGAGGAGGGTGCGTCGAGGGAAGGTTTTTTGAGGTTGTGTTGGAGGTGATTTTTGAGGGGTGGTGACGCAAGAAATACAATTTGCAATCATTTGCATCATCCGAATGGAAAGGTGTAGTTGGCACCTTGCCAGGTATAGAGACCCAGGGTAGCTATAGTGCAGCTACCAGGTATAGTACTTCAAGTTCCCTTTTCGTCAACCGCTCGATAACCTCTACACACGCACAGCAAGCCACAGCTTTGAAGCGTCATGCGCGCGATACCTGGGAACAGAATTGTAGCTACCGTGGGTCCGTATGAACGCAATGTTGCTATACCTCTTACACACCTATACCAGTTCAAAGCACGAATGAGACTTCATAGCTGTGGTTTGCTGTGCATGTGTGGCTCGAGAAAGATATACGTAAACTCTGGAAGGTGATGCTTTGATGCTTTTGGAGCGGGTGGTGACGCACTCGCCAAC